CCTCCTCTGTGTCTGTGTCCACTGGAGAGGAGCCGTATGCACTGTCAGGATAAGCGGGCTCTCCCTGCTCCACCAGCTCCAGGTCTGAAGTGTTCTCCATCATCAGCTCCATGTGTGAGGTGCTTCTCAACAGCAGATCTTTGACAGTCATTGAGACTTTTCCTCTCTCACTCATCTCAAGATGTCTCTTTTACCTTGTCTTGTCTCTGATGTGCAACGGTGACTCATGCCAGCGAGTCTTATAACCTGATGAAGTTTACGCTGTTAAATATTTAACAGCAGTGCTTCCTGTGGCATGCATGTGTTCATGAAGATTGTGCTGTCCACAACTGTGCTCACTGTGACGAAATGTTTTGGGTCATTCCTGCTCCGTTGACCCTTCTGAACTATAAAGGTTTTACAAATGAATACACTTTTGTTATAGTGTAGGATGCTTTGCTCAAACTCACACACTTTATTCAATATAACCTTATTTACATAATGGAAATGCAGGTTAGCCATTGCTAAGTGAGGGACTGACGGTTAGCTTGCATGAGAGTGCAAACTTTAAGTTCACTGTGGCATTAACCACATATAAGATATAATCATACAGATTTCTGTAGTTAAATCAAGCAGGATGGAGGTTTATAGTGACACAAACCAATACCACAAAACAAACGGTACTAATACTTGCGGTGTTCTGGAGCTATTCTTTTCAACATTCTATTCATCCAAAAATCCTGAAAAAAAAATGTATTCGGGTTTCCATAAAAAATGTGAATCAGCACTACGGTCTTCATCTTTGATAATAACAATAAGAAATGTTTGTTGAGCAGCAAATAAGCATATTTCAATGATTTCTGAAGGATCATGTGACACTGAAGACTGGAGTAATGATGCTGAGAATTCAGCTTTAAATCACAAATGACTAAAATTACAGTAATGTTTAATGTCGATACTGCTTAAAAAAAAGAAAGTTATCTCAAATGTTTGACTGGTGTACATCTACACATTTAGTGGGAATCAATGATTTAGTAAAATGTGAATCGTGTAAATTCGGCAAATTTTCCCAGTCAACAAATAAATAAAACATGACAACGTGACTTGATTTCACATCTTTATTGTGCCATCATGTGTCATCTGTTGCTGCACGCCGGCCCTACAAAAGGCTCTGGTTCAATGGGTCTCAAACTTTCAGATTAAGACTGGTGTTTACGCCCCACAGAGACCCGGTGAGACCGATGATGAACGTAAAACAAAAGCGGACTTTAAATACAAAAACAGCATTCAATCATTCATTCATTAATTCCATCCTTATTTCACTTGTTTCTTTTGACACCACAAAAGCTTCACCGAAGCATGTACACGAAGAGAAAAAGGACACTTTAAACCTAAAACATAAAACAACTGTATTACTGATCAGGTTTTCTGATCAGTAAATCAAAACCTGAAACATCCCCTTTGAAACTCGGGGCACTTAAAATCTACCGTAAAAGAAGCATTGTATTTGCCAAATAAAAGCAGCATGTTGCACAAGACACATTTGTTTGAACTTATGTTTCTTAGTGTCTTCATTGGAAGGCAAGAAAGCAAAACAGCACACATAAACGGACAAATGTGGGTGGTTAAAAACAGTAACAACCAGCTATGGCACATTAAAATGTAGACTGATCTTTTCCAATCTGAACTATTTTGAATTTAAAGGGACAGTTCACTCAAAAAAAAAAAAAGTTAAAAAAAGTAAATTCTGTCATCATTTACTCAACCTCACGTTTCAAACCCGAATGGGTTTCTTTCTTCAGTTGAACACAAAAATGAAGCAGACTGTATAAGCCGAGGTTTTAAATCCTGAGGCTGTCAGGCTCTAAAAAGCACAAAAATACCTCAAGTCTATATGAATAATGCACTGTATTTGAAATCTTCTGAAGAAATACGATAGCTTTGTGTGAGGAACAGACTGAAGCTCAATTAAAACTGAAAATTCACTTGCGTCATTCCACATTTGTATGACTTTCTTTCATTCTTCGAAAGACAAATGAAGATATTTTTTAATGAAGCCTCCATTGAATTCTATTCGACCAACACTTTCAAGCTTCAAAAAGGTAATTAAAAGCATCATAAAAGTAATCCCAAGTGACTGCAGTGGTTTTCATTTTTGGTTGAACTAAGTTACTGACTGAAAATCTTCCCCTCCATCCTAACTCTCAAATCTTGCATTTGTGCATGTTCAAACTTGGCAAGATTCAATGCATCCATTTTGACATTAGCTGCTGGGTTTCTATCCAACTATTTTAATACAAATTTTGCAAACCTCAGTGGAAAAGCGTGATATGTGCATAAACTCAACGCCGATGGAAGCATGCGATTTTTAGAAATGTGCATTAAAATTTTTTATTTTTTTTGCTGGGTTTCCATTCAATTTGGCACCAAATGCCATTGGTTCTTCCGTGTCTCGTAACTTAAAGGGTTAGTTCACCCAAAAATGAAAATTAGGCTGTGTTTTACTCACCCCCGAGGCATCCTAGGTGTATATGACTTTCTTCTTTCAGATGAATCCAGTCGGGAGTTATATAAAAAAAATTGTCCTGGCTCTTCCAAGCTCTATCATTGCAGTCAGTAGAACGGTTCGGACTGCTGAAAGGATTATTGGTGCCCCCCTGCCCAGCCTCCAAGAACTGTATACATCCAGAGTGAGGACGAGTAAAACATAGCCTAATTTTCATTTTTGGGTGAACTAACCCTTTTACATAAAAATTGTAGCTTTCAAAACAGATAATTGTAAATGCTATTTTGTAGACACAGAGTAAGGGGGAGATTTTCTGAGAATAACTGTTTCTCAAGACTTGAAATACAGCACGAGTCATTTTCGTTCATTCAATGCTGTGACCATTACTTGTAAGGTCTTCTTTTTTTGTTCCACAGAAGAAAGTCATATAGATTGACATTATTAGGTGAAATATTCCTTTAAATTATGGGAACATACTGTAGGAGCAGCTACTGTAACTCAAGTCTCCAGCTATTCAACAAAGAGTGTAAAACTTATTCGTAGTTAAAAACCAAACTGGTGGAAGACCAGAATTAAGCGTGAAATATTGTGACACGGTATACAAGCACAAGTGTATGTATGAGCTACAGATCACGGACTGATCTTCAGCAGGGTCAGATCTTCAGGCAGTCTCAAATATTTCAATCCACGTCCTCGTACTTTGCGATTTGTGTGCGGCTGAGAAAACTTTGCAGTAACAGACGAAAGAAGGTCCTCCAGATGAGCCGTTTTTCAACTCAAAGGACATTCATCATGAAGACAAAAAGTCACAGTATTACAAAACTCAGATTCTTGTTTCCTGACAGGCGGTTTCCGTTAGTGTTTGTTTTGTGTACGATGATTCCATGCAGTGCTGCGTCTCCGGGCAGCTGAAACTCGTTAAGTGAACGAATGTATCAATCCACTGGCAGAAATTCATGACGATTCTACAAGCTCCGCCTCCTCTGCTGAGACTCGTTTTACAATAAAGTGCACTTCTTCAATCTGCTTCTGAAGTTTTGATATTAATGCTTCAAAATAAGCATAGCGATACAGCCAGAGGACTCCAGCGATTTGCCTCCAACAGCTTCAAATACCAATTTTGGCCACTGCTTTACAGAGGAAAATAATGTGCAGAGTTTTTGTTTTTCTCGTAACAAAGAATAATAGTGTAAAATCGTTGAGATTTGGGGCTTTGTATCACAAGCCCACACTGTGAACTATGTGCTAATAAGACTCCGAACCTTGTAACAACGTATTTAGATGACATCTGAACATTGATCAATAAAAGCAAGACTCATATGTCCACGTCTGGCAGTCATCTTGTGCAAATTTAGACATGTTCTTTCGTAGATTCACCCTCAACCAGTTCCCGCCCTCAACAGAAGGTGCCTTGACTAATAATGGGATGGTCCGAAAGACCACAACTCGTAAACATCACTCTTGTGGACTGTTCTTCAGGGACTTCGCCGCTCCGCTCCATTTGTACGAGCTTGCAAGGCTACCTAATGCGACCGTCTTTTTTGACTGGCCCCAGTTCTGATTTGGGGTCAGGAGACAAGGAACTCCAAGAGGTCTTGGTGCAGAGTCCTATGGTGGGACAGGAGGAGGTCTGGTCAGAGCAAATGTCTCCCGTGACCCAGAAAGCCTCCACAGAGCTGTCCACCCAGGCCTCCAGCGGCTTCCCCACCAGGGAGGTCTTCTTCTGCACCTCCTGCAGGGCGGGCTCACTGGGCGGCAGCTTCAACACGTGGGCGAGCTGCTGGAAGCTTTGCTCCAAATACACGTTACCTGGCGGACCTGCATGTACCCAGCCATGGTCTTCTGAAGAGAAGAGAAGATCCATCTTACTCGATACATCTATATCTATAACACTCACATATTTATTCTAAAATTTCATCCAATCAGAGGAACTGATATTTGATGCAAAAATGCATTTTAAATATAGCAGAGGGACATTTTTCAAATCTTTTTTTTTCTACTAAATGAACACGAGGAGGAATATTTAATAATTTATAAGAACCAATATGTGACCCTGGACCACAAAACCAGTCATAAGGGTCAATTTTTCGAAATTGAGATTTATACATCATCTGAAAGCTGAATAAATAAGCTTTCCATTGATGTATGGAAATTTTGTTTTTAGAAATTCATATTTTTATTTAGCAAAGATGCATTAAATTGATCAAAAGTGGCAGTAGAGGCATTTACAATGTTGCAAAAGACTTCTATTTGAAATAAATGTGGTTCTTTTAAACTTTCTATTCATCAAAGAATCCTGAAAAAATGTATCATGGTTTCCACAAAAATATTTACCAGGATGTTTTCAACATTGATAATAAGAAATGTTTCTTGAGTGTATTCAAATAGGAAATGGTTATTTTAAATTGTAATGACATTTCACATTGGTGTCTCACCAGTGCGCAGGGGCTCACGTCCCTTGAAGGCCAGAGGCATGACCAGAAATTGAGCTTCTGCTACACGGTCCCACAACCGCAGCACACGCACCGTCCAAACTCCAGGCCTGAGGGGGCGCTGAAGCGGTGGCTTGTATTGCGTAAACTCTGCCTCAACGTCTATGCTGATGTCATAGGAGGCAGCTACTATGTGTGCTGGGTCAATCCACACTATGGTGGCTGTCAGGTTGGGTCCACGAGCCCACTTCTGAACTGCCACCGGCTCGTCTAGAGGTCCCATCACTCCACCAAAGTTACGGAAGATTCGCTCCTTTGGGTCCCACTCAGTTCCGACCTAGTATAAAACAGCATGCACAAAATACACGATGTTAAAGAACTACAGAACGTATTCACTCTATTTTCTAAATGCACATTTTTTGTATCTCATTGTAATTAATGATTCATGTATGCATTTCCTTTTTTTTTGACTTTGTATTTTTTAATTAAAATGTCATAACTGGATCTTCCGGTAAAATAGACTTATTTATTAGTAGAATTTTATATAGAATTATATTGGCCTCTTGAACCCTGCCCCTTCCTTACAATTGACCGCAAGCTCGCATTCACATCTGACTCCATCTAATCAACAGCCGATGCATAGAAAAAGTCTCTGCGCTTTTATTTGGTAATCCATTTAACTCCAATGTACGTTACAATACAGAAGAAATAATCTGTTGCTATGTCCGTAACATTGTGACTGTGGAATATACCAAATCATTTACAATGGTCTCCCTATTCTTCTCACCTCAAGGTGTTTGAGGCGCTCAAACTCGTGAAGGTTGTGTTCTAGCTGCAGTGTTGCTTGAGGAACAGCCCACACCTCCAGCATCTCACGGGACCTGGTCACCACATTCTGCACCTCTTGCCTGACCAGGTAACCCTGGAAACGGTCATCATAAAAATACAGGTGCACCGAGACGGGGTAGCCAATAGGTTCAAACCTGTGGGTAAAAAAAACAATTCATCAAATTAATCATCTGATGACTGGACTGAAGGAATGGATGGATGGATTGGGATGAAAGGATGAATGCTGATGGAGGGATGGATTGGGATAGAAAGATTGGGATGGATGGATGATTGGGATGAAAGGATGAATGCTGATGGAGGGATGGATTGGGATAGAAAAATTGGGATGGATGGATGATTGGGATGAAAGGATGAATGCTGATGGAGGGATGGATTGGGATAGAAAGATTGGGATGGATGGATGATTGGGATGAAAGGATGAATGCTGATGGAGGGATGGATTGGGATAGAAAGATTGGGATGGATGGATGATTGGGATGAAAGGATGAATGCTGATGGAGGGATGGATTGGGATAGAAAAATTGGGATAGATGGATGATTGGGATGGAAGGATGGATTTTGATGGAGGGATGGATTGAGAGAGGGATTGGGATGGATTGGATAAATGGATAGAGGAATGGATAGATGGGTTGGGATGAAGGGATGTATGGACTGGGATGGAAGGATGTATTTTGATAGAGGGATGGATTGGGATAGAAAGATTAGGATAGATGGATGGATTGGGATGGAAGGATGGATTTTGATAGAAAGACTGGGATGTTTGGATTGATGGATGGATGGATGGGTTGGAATGGAGGGATGGATGGATTGGGATGGAAGGATGAATTTTGATAGAGGGATGGATTGGCATAGAAAGATTGGGATGGACTGGATAGATGGATTTTGATAGAAAGACTGGTATGGTTTGGATTGATGGATGGGTTGGAATGGAGGGATGGATGGAAGGATGAATTTTGATAGAGGGATGGATTGGCATAGAAAGATTGGGATGGACTGGATAGATGGATGGAAGGATGAATTTTGATAGAAAGTCTGGGAAGGGTTGGATTGATGGATGGGTTGGAATGGAGGGATGGATGGATTGGGATGGAAGGATGAATTTTGATAGAAAGTCTGGGAAGGGTTGGATTGATGGATGGGTTGGAATGGAGGGATGGATGGATTGGGATGGAAGGATGAATTTTGATAGAAAGTCTGGGAAGGGTTGGATTGATGGATGGGTTGGGATGGAGGGATGGATTGGCATAGAAAGATTGGGATGGACTGGATAGATGGATGGAAGGATGACCTGCAGGTCTCAGAACTGCTTTGAGTGGTCTCCTGCTTACGGAGGCCCAGTCTAAAGAAGGAGGAGTACGCCGTGAGGGCCACATCATTGAGGAACGAGACCCCATCAGCCTGCTCGAACAGGTTCTCCCAGTACGCTTTCAGTGCCACTGTGCCCGGAGGGTACTGCCCATACAGATGATTGTCCAGGATCTCAATAGCCTCCTGGTTCACAGTGGACTCAAACTTACGGGCGAAGAACGTGGGCCGCGTTAGTTGCTATCATGGGAGAAAAGAAGGGTTGAGGTGGTGTCAAATGTCTATGATCAGGTGTAGTTTCTAGCAAGAAAAGGCAATTTGTTAAGAAATACATTGGTTCCCATTCACTAATAATAGCGTGCACATTGTACACATTGAGACTCACTGTGATCGTTTCAATACTGTGTGGCTTCTGACTCAATATATCTGCAGGGATCACTTAACGGTTCACTGACCTGTATTCTGATGAGGTCTGAGGGTTTGAAGTCATTTGGTGAGCAGCCACACCAGTCCACTATGTGCTTATACTGGCACTTGCAGCCCAACTTCCTGTTCCAGTTGGTCACACGCAGATTGTTGTCGACCAAAGTATCACACATGTGACTGTTTCCCAGCACTGTGTGAAAGAAAGACTGAAAACCAGACAGAGAGGAATTATTTAATATACCCTCAGGGACACAGCACTTAATGTTTACAGCTCACTGCTGTGCCAATTAAATAAAATTAACATGGAGTATCACATCAACAGACTTATCACTTTATGATTCAACCCGATTTAATACACAACAATAACAGTGATTCATCGTGTTTCTTTAAATGAGTCATATCGTCTTTTATGATTTCATTTTATTAGTCCAGTACCTCAGCAGGCAGAAGAGCGTAGGTGTAAAACTGCTTGAGCCCAGTCACCAGCTCGTCCTGTGAGTTTATCACATATTCCACAAACTTGTGCGTGAGGGAGAACCAGTCCGAGCCTCCTGACACCTCCAGCCCCTCAGGGATGGTGCGCTCGCCCAGACGCCACATGTGGTTGTCACATTCGTGGAACAGGCGGTCCAAACCCTGCTTCTTAATGAACCTACGTGACAGGAGAGAGCAGGATGTTGACTGATGTCATGATAAACACTGTCACAGCTGCATTATGTGAGGCATGTCAACAGTGTCAAGACGGTGTAACTATCCTGAAATCATAATGAATGACAGAAGGAGTCTCATTAAAAGGCCGAAATTCCTGAAGAGAGAAAAAAAAATAACTTTTATAAAAGTAGTTTGGAACGGTCTTTTATATTGACCTCCAAATCATTGTGGTAAACTGCATGGCAAGGTCAGTGAAGTATTTTAAAAATATATATATTTTAAGGGACAAAACTCAAAATTATGATATTCATGATTCAAATATTCAATATTTTTGTAAAGAATATGTTTGAAAACTTTTTGAAAATGCATATTTTAGGTGCAAGGTAAAGGTTATTACTTCATTACACCACTTGTCAATCATTTTTTTTTTCCTAATGTATGAAAGAAACATGAAAACAACTATTAAGTTTCTAATAATTCGACAATTTAAAACTAACATCATTAATTATCATGGATCCAAATATAGAGCTGGTCGATATATTGAATACTCACAATAATTGTTTTGGCGATATTTACTACCATTAAAAAGTTTGAGGTCAGTGAGTCTCTCATGCTCAAGGCTGCATTTATTTGATTGAAATACAGTAAAAACAGTGAAAATATTATTACAATTTAAAATAGATGTTTTCTATTTATATGTTAAAATGTAATTTATTCCTGTGATGCAAAGCTGTATTTTCAGCATTATAACGCCAGTCTTCAGTGTCACATGATCCTTCTAATATCATTCTAAAACACTGATTTGATACTCAATTTTTTATTATTATTATCATCCGACAATTTAAAACTAACTTTCTTTTCATTGTCTCGGACATCATTAATTATCATGGATCCAAATATAGAGCTGGTCGATATATTGAATACTCACAATAATTGTTTTGGCGATATTTACTACCATTAAAAAGTTTGAGGTCAGTGAGTCTCTCATGCTCAAGGCTGCATTTATTTGATTGAAATACAGTAAAAACAGTGAAAATATTATTACAATTTAAAATAGATGTTTTCTATTTATATGTTAAAATGTAATTTATTCCTGTGATGCAAAGCTGAATTTTCAGCATTATAACGCCAGTCTTCAGTGTCACATGATCCTTCTAATATCATTCTAAAACACTGATTTGATACTCAATTTTTTATTATTATTATCATCAATGTTGAAAACAGTTGTGCGGCTTCATGATTTTTGTGGAAACTGTGATAAATTGTTTTCAGAATTATTTGATGAATATAAAGTTTGAAAAAAACAGCATTTAAAACAGAAAATGTTGGTAACAATGTCAATTTTAATCAATTTAATGTGTCCTTGCTGAATACAAATATTAAATTCTTTCAAAAAATATTTAACGGTCGTGCATAATTAGGCAACATTATGAACAGCACAATGATTTTAATGCATACAGTTTGGACATTAAGTTTCCTAAAGGTCATGCCTTTAGACTGGTTTGGCAATCCTTCCTCGTCTCATGATTTGAGTATGAAAGCATCAAGACAGAATTGCTTCAATAGCAAAATAAGTACTAGAGTTTGATTTATTCTGTGAATCAATTTGAATCATTTAATTGAATGAATTCATAACTCTGATCCAAAAGAAAAAAAAAATCTAATTTGCATAATCCCAGCCCACAAACAAAGTAGATAAACTGTGATTGAGCTGTCATTTAGAGCATCCCAAGATGCGGACAGAACGTGAGAACTAGTAACCTGACCTGGAATAACCTCAGAGTTGAATCGGAAATGAGTTTACCTTGCGTTCTCTCTGCCATGAGACTTCAGGAAGTTCTTGTCACGGTTCTGGGAGAGAAAA